CTCGGAAAAGTCTACTTTTAATCGACAAAGTAGTTCGTATCATGCCCACTTGGTCAAGCGACACTCGATCGGATCCGACCACTCGACACTACACGAGCACGAGATTCAACTTCCCATCACTCCTATCACTCCATCTCCACCAAAAGAAGCCAAGAGTCTAGCGGCCAAGGCAGTTTTGTTGGTACAGTGGGTCGTGATGGTTGTTGAACGATCGCTTGTCATTTATGGATGGGGTCAAGTCTTGTCTGGTCTGACGATCTATTGGGGATTCGGGCGATCACAGTACATTAACGGCATTCTTGCCCACTTTATCAGTGAGTAGCCGAACTCCTTTTTCTATCTTTTGTCTAATGATTGCTCAGAGGGATCCATCTTTTGGTGGTATGGAGTACTCACGTTTGCGCGTTATCTCGGTGCATGGAGTCGCTGGGGATGGGGCTGGAACGCCCTCTCCACTTCTAAATCCAAGCCTTGGTCCGCTGCGCTCGTCGAATCTCTCGTCATCTTTACCTATGGATTTACACAACAGTTTATGGAGCGCTTTGGAAAGAACCCAGGGGACCCATACACTGCCAAGGATATCGAGCATATTTCGATCGCAGTCATGTTTTGGGGTGGTGGATTAGTCGGAATGGCAGTCGAATCTCCAATGGTTCGAGGATGGATATTTGGTGAAGAAGAACCAGCACCAAAAGAAGAGGATAGTGGACTTTCGAGTCCTAAAGGCCGAATGTCTCCCCATACCAGAAAGGGCAGCGATATTCACCACCATCCTCATCATCAACACCACCCCTCCAACACGACCCTCGTACACCACTATCAAGTCCCACAACCCCGTACCATGTCCCCTAAAGCCTCCAACCCCCTCCCGGCCCTGGTCATTGGGGTCACTGGCCTCGCCATGAGCGCGCACCACCAAACCTACCTCTTCCAAGTCCAAATCCATGAATTATGGGGATACCTCCTTGTCGGGTTTGCCATCTGTCGGTGCCTGACCTGCTTCTTCGAATGGGTCCGGCCCGCCCACGACACCTCCAATTATAGCAATACCAATGTCAATAAACGTCATGGAAACGGTAGTGGTACGATAGTGGGAAAACCGGGTTTGCCTCCTACGGAACTTGTCGGGAGTATTTTCCTCGGCGCGGGAGGGTTCGTATTTATCTGTAGTGACGAACAAATCACTTTTTGGGCCATGCGAACCGGACGAGGTGCGTTTATCGCTTACTGGTTAACACATGGAGATACTGATAAGAATATAGATGATATGATGATGTTCCTCAATCTCGCAATCGCGTTCACGTGCTTGGCCTATGTCTGGACGACCATCATTCTCATTATTGCCGGC